TTTAAACATCATATAGTTTAAACATCATAGTTTAAACATCATAGTTTAAACATCATAGTTTAAACATCATATAGTTTAAACATCATAGTTTAAACATCATAGTTTAAACATCATAGTTTAAACATCATAGTTTAAACATCATAGTTTAAACATCATAGTTTAAACATCATAGTTTAAACATCATAGTTTAAACATCATAGTTTAAACTTCATAGTTTAAACATCATAGTTTAAACATCATAGTTTAAACGTTTAAACATCATAGTTTAAACTTCATAGTTTAAACATCATAGTTTAAACATCATAGTTTAAACATCATAGTTTAAACATCATAGTTTAAACGTTTAAACATCATAGTTTAAACTTCATAGTTTAAACATCATAGTTTAAACATCATAGTTTAAACTTCATAGTTTAAACATCATAGTTTAAACATCATAGTTTAAACATCATAGTTTAAACTTCCTACTCTTGAGTCTTATATCAACATTTAACAACAATTTAAACATAAATTTCTATTTCACTGGTGAAAATCAATTAAACCAGTTGAGAATATTTTTTATTTTAAAAATATATAATCTTTTAACTTTTCAGTCTCAATTTAAATATTTGATAACAACTAATTTCAGTATTCAACCATTTAAATCAAAACATTCACCGATTTATAATATAGATTGTCTATATTATTTTTATAACATAGATTGTCTATATTATTTTTTTAACATAGATTGTCTATATTATTTTTATAACATAGATTGTCTATATTATTTTTATAACATAGATTGTCTATATTATTTTTATAACATAGATTGTCTATATTATTTTTATAACATAGATTGTCTATAGTATTTTTATAACATAGATTGTCTATATTATTTTTATAACATAGATTGTCTATATTATTTTTATAACATAGATTGTCTATATTATTTTTATAACATAGATTGTCTATATTATTTTTATAACATAGATTGTCTATATTATTTTTATAACATAGATTGTCTATAGTATTTTTATAACATAGATTGTCTATATTATTTTTATAACATAGATTGTCTATATTATTTTTATAACATAGATTGTCTATATTATTTCTATAACATATAAAACTCAAACATTACAGACCTAATTTATATTATAACAATTACATATTATATTTTCATATCAATTTCAGTATTTAATGTTAAAATCAAAACAATCGCTGATTTCTACCAATTGAGAATATTATTTTTATTATTTATTATCTCTGAAATTTAGATTCAAACATTATATAACATGATAGACCTAATTTCAGTATTAATATGTTAACATTAGCCAATTTAAAACAGATTGTGATTATTATTTTTATAATATATTCTCTTAATTCTATGGAGCCTGCACTGGTAAATATACAGTAAAAACTGTATTAAGAGACCACGCAGGGGAAAATTCAAAAACGGTCTCTTACTGGGAGTGGTCTCTTACGGGAGGTGGTCTCTTACTGGAGGTGGTCTCTTACTAGAGGCGGTCTCTTACTAGAGGTGGTCTCTTACTGGAGGTGGTCTCTTACGGGGGTGGTCTCTTACAGGAGGTGGTCTCATACTGGAGGTGGTCTCTTATGAG